GGGTGGGGGGCGGGTGGCTGGGCGCCCACCCCCCGGACGGCCCCCTAACCGAGTCTGCTCTCTCCGCAGGGGCGCCCGTGGTCACCGAACTGCGCTGCCACTGCTTGCAGACCGTGCAGGGAATTCACTTCAAGAACATCCAGAACGTGAAGGTGACGGCCCCGGGACCCCACTGTGGCCAAACGGAAGTCGTGTAAGTGCCGCCGCTGCTGCGGTCCTTGTCACCGCTACCCTCCCTGTCCGCCCACCCTGACCCCCAGCCCCATCTCCGGCCTCACGTGGATTCTCCCCTCTCTCTGCAGAGCCACTCTCAAGAATGGCCAGGAAGCTTGTCTCAACCCCGCAGCCCCCATGGTTAAGAAAATAGTCGACAAGATGCTTAACAAGTGAGTTACGGTTTCTTATTCACACGTGTGACTAGGGTCATTCTGCCTCCTTAAAACTGTATCAGAGAAACCCAGGGTTTAGCTGAAGGAATGGAAAATCATTATTTCACGATTAAATTTGTCATTAAGATCATTAATCTGCTCTGATGCCAGGATATTTTCAGTGCCTTCCATCCTGGCCCCTGACTCTATCCCAATTCAGATGAATGCAGTTTAAGCTGCTTTCATTAAAATTCTCACTGCGATTGGCCAGTTATGCTAAAAAAAACTGTATAAAAAACACAGGCACACCCCCCTCCCTACCCCCAACACATACACTGCTCCAGTTCTTTCTGGGCTTCACACCTGAAAAGCAGAACCCTCGTTTTCTGCAACATAAGCCCTTAAAGCTTAGTGGTAAAGAGCAGGGACTTTGCAGCCAGTTGGTATTGGGTACAAATTTGGGTTCCACCACCTATTAGCCATATGACTCAAGGACAATTATTTGGTTTATCTAAGACTTAGTATAACAGGGAAAACAATAGCAGCTACGCATGGGTTTACTGTGAGGCTTAAGCGAGGCCCAGTGTGACAGGTAGAGAGTAATGGTTCTAGCCATTTGTAGCCAACACTGCAGTGGAGACCACAGACCCTACCCCATTCCTGAATAAGAATATCCAATAGCCTAGAGGTCTCTGCCACACAGCATAGCAGGTGCCAGGCTGGGAAGACTGGATTCAGAAATCTGGGGAGCAGGATAGGAGAAGACTGTCGTGCAGCCAGTTTTCTGGAAGAGCTCCTAAGAAAATCCTTTTCTCATTTACAGAGGCAGCTCCAGCTGACCAGCGGCAAGAAGAAAGCCCCATGATGGCTGTTCCCAAAGTAGGCCCTGCCCTTACAGGAATCAAAGAGGGAAAGGAGAAATCATCGGTACCTGGGGCCACCTGGACTGGACTTAATATGTTTGAACATCTCTTGGGAGGATTCTTCCACTTATTTATTTATTTATTAATTTATGTGTTGGCTAGTTTTCAAAGACTCTAGGTTAATATTTACATGTAAAATAATTAAGGATGTAATGATTGAATCTACTTGTGCACTGGATTATTATTTTTATTATTTATTTTTTGAAAAAAATCAAATCAATTGTCTTGGTTCTTATTTAATTTGAAGTAGAAGATTTGCAAATATTCTTCAGTCATTAAACTGATATTTCTGGGGAGCCCACAGCTTGCCAGCCCCTGTGATAGAGGCTGCTGGATCCAAATGAATAGTGAGGTCATTGTCACCATGGGAGAATGTATGTGTACAGCTATTTTTGTAAATGTTTAAAAGAATGTTAGTTGTTATTTACTGAAACGATTTCACAGTTTGTGGTCAACATTTCTCTTGTTGAAGCTTTAAGAACTACAATGTTCCAAATATCCTTTGGACATTTTATGTCTTTCTTGTAAGGCATAGTGCCTTGTTTAATGTTAACTATGCAGTGCTTTTCTGTGTCTTAGAAAAGAGAAGTTTAAAAATTTATTGATATTTTTACAAAGAATGTGAAAATAAAGTATTTCAAACTAAACAATGTTTGTTTCATTTTTCTGAAGAAAAAAGGTTTATCTTTACTGGATAATATGATTATTTACATCAATATTTCTCAACTTCTTTTTCTCCTCATGGACATTCAATTTGCTACACCAATAAATCAAACTATAAATTATGCTTAATTTCATCTGGTGATAGCTATCACTCCTCTTGGCTCTCAAACCCAAGAATGTACTTTTCCACTTCAGATAATACTACAAAACTACAGTAATCAAAACAGCATGGTATTGGCACAAAAACAGATATATAGATCAATGGAACAGGAGAGAGAGCCCAGAAATAAACTCACACACCTGTGGTCAATTAATCTTTGACAAAGGAGGCAAGAATATACAATGGAAAAAAGACAGGATCTTGAGCATGTGGTGTTAGGAAAGCTGGACAGCTGCATGTAAATCAGTGAAGTTAGAACACTCCCTCACACAAAAAATTAACTCAAAATGGCTTAAAGATTTAAACATAAGTCTTTAATATCATATTTCTCTGACATAAGTCGTAGTAATTTTTCCCTAGATAAGTCTCCCAAGGCAATAGAAATAGAAACAAAAGTGAACAAGTGAAATCTAATCAAACTTATAAGCTTTTGCACAGTAAAGGAAATCATAAACAAAATGAAAAGAAAACCTATGAAGTGAGAGAAAATATTTGAAATGATGCAGCTGATTAAGAGCTTAATTTCCATAATATATAAAGAGCTCATACAACTCAATAACAAAAAATTCAGTCAGAAAATAGGCAGAAGACCTAAACAGTCATTCGTCCAAAGAAGACATAAAGATGGCCAATAGGTACATGAAGTGATGATCAATGTCATTAATTACCAGAGAAATACAAATCAAAATTATGATGAGGTATCACCTCACACTAGTCAGAATGGCCATCATTAAAATGTACACAGCAATAAATGCTGGAGAGAGTGTGGAGAAAAGGGAACCCTCCTACATTGTTGGTGGGAATGTAATTTGGTGCAGCTATTATGGAAAATAGTATGGAGATTCCTTAAAAAACTAAAAATAGACTTACTGTATGATCTAGTAATCCTACTGCTGGGCATATGTCTGGAGGAAAGTCTAATTTGAGAAAATACATGCACCCCAATGTTCACAGAAGCACTATTTATAATAGCCAAAATATGAATCAATCTAAATATACATCGACAGATGATTGGATAAAGAAGTTGTATCTGATATATACAATGGAATACTACTCAGCCATAAAAACAATGAAATAATGCCATTTGTAGCAAAATGGATGGACCTAAAGATGATCATACTAAGTGAAGTAAACCAACCAGAGAAAGACAAGTATCATGGTATCACTTATATGTAGAATCTGAAAAATGTTACAATGAACTTATTTACAGACCAGAAGAGACTCAAAGACATAGAAAACAAATCTATGGTTACTAAAGGGGAAAGGGATGGAAATAAATTAGGGATTTGGGATTAGCCGCTACAAACTGTTATGTACAGAAAAGATAAACAAGTCATATTGTATAGCACAGGGAACTATATCCAATAACTTGCAATAACCTATAATGAAAAAGAATATATACATGTATAACTGAATCACCATGCTGTGTACCAGAAATTAACACAACATTTTAAATCAACAATACTTCAATAAAAAAATAAAAGAATGTGTTTTTCCAAGCAGTGCACTGACGCCTCCCCCTCAGTGCAAGAGTAACTACAATAATATATTGCCCTTTATAAGGAGTGTCTTGCTACCTGGCTGCTCAAGTTTACCTCCTTAAAAACATTTGCATTCTTGTAGCTATCTTAAAAAGAACTCTCATTTCATTGCTTTTGCTAAAGGATTTTTTAAACTATTATTGATAATTTAATGAAGCTTACAGTGAAACGGCAGTAAAGAGGATTTTTTTTTCTTCAAAACACAATTTGTCATTAATAGAAGGAGAAAACATGAGTGGCTAAGTAGCTAATTCATAGAAAGGTCTAATGGATTTTGGGGTTCAATTTTCTAAGCTTCATTTATAAGTAGTTACCACTGAGTTTAACATTATCCCAACTCTTTACACCAATTCATCAAAAATAGTAGAATGGTTTTGAGACTTGACTGCATTAGTTCTCACCCATCCCAGTGTAATTTTTATGGAACTTGATGGATTGTTTGGCCTCAGAAAGCCCTCTGGAACTTGGTGTTCACACTGCCCCCGGATAACTGCTGCAAATCAGGTTTCCAAGACAGAAACAAAGTCGTTATGTCAAGGGAAGAAAGATCCTGATCATGTAGAAGAAACCACCCTCCAAAACTGAAAAGGAAGACTATTTTTAGATGTCTGGGGTGTGTGTTCATCTCTGATTCTGGACT